GTATGGAACAGAGGGAATGTTCTAGTGCATAGTTTGCATCCATCCTTCCCATTGGAGTCAAGTTTGACCGGTTTATGGTACAAATAGTTTTAACAGTTGGGGCAATCCAGCCTACTATATATATTACCGCATTGGAATCAAGAATATATCTCAATCCGAAATGGCTGCAAAATCTCAAGTCATTACTCTGCTCCTTTCCCTCTTCCTAGCCCTCATTGTAACCTGCCATGGCAAGGGTGGCATTGCCACATACTGGGGCCAAAACGGTAACGAAGGAACCTTGGACGAAGCCTGTGGCCCCGGCAGTTACTACTCATACGTCAATATAGCCTTCCTTAACATATTCGGAAATGGCCAAACCCCTGGACTCAACCTTGCTGGCCACTGTAACCCAGCAAACAACGGCTGCACCGGTGTCAGCACCGGCATAACAGCTTGCCAAAGTCGTGGAATCAAGGTCATGCTCTCCATAGGAGGCGGTGCCGGAAGCTACTCTCTATCTTCCCCGGCCGACGCAAAGGCCGTAGCGGAATACCTCTGGAACAACTTCTTGGGTGGGCAATCACCGTCACGTCCTTTAGGCCCTGCAGTTTTGGACGGAATTGACTTCGATATTGAGCTCGGGTCGACTCAGTACTACGATTATCTCGCTCGCTACCTCGCCAGCTACAGCAGCCAAGGAAGAAAGGTATATTTAACGGCAGCTCCACAATGCCCGTTTCCGGACGCACACTTAGGGACTGCCCTTAATACCGGCCTCTTCGACTACGTATGGGTTCAATTTTACAACAATCCTCAGTGCGAGTACAGTTCAGGTAGTACCAGTAATCTCATTAGTTCATGGAACCAGTGGACTACATCCATCAATGCAGGAAAGATACTTATGGGGTTGCCAGCCTCGCCAGCGGCTGCTTCAAACGGGTATATCCCGCCGAATGTGCTGATTTCACAAGTGCTACCGGTAATAAAGCAGTCAGCGAAGTATGGAGGAGTTATGCTTTGGAACAGGTACTATGATAAGCTGACCGGATACGGTCCCGCTATTGTGGGAAGTTTATGAGGTGAGGATTGGATTATCCTCAGAAAGTGCATCATTTTAATACTAATTAAATAAATTTATGTGATCCTTGAGGTCTCACTATATGGCCGACTCCCTATCTGCTTTACAATAACATGTTTTTCAATGGGATATGATATATTAAAAATGTTATAATTATAATATAATGTGAAATTTTAAACATATAATATGTTATATCATGATGTTATATTTATTTATAATATCATATATATTTATTCATTTAATATTATATTGTATTAATTTAATATCATATCATAATTATAAACTTATAATTCTATATGATGTTGTAATTATAATATTATCAATGATACAATAACCAAAAATTATAACTTTTCTTATGGAGAAACACAAGGAAACTGTAAATAAAACGTATCATCCTGGGAAAATCTTCAAGGAATAATGAAAAGGAAGCCTACAAAAAT